GCTATGGCTCGTGATCCCCGCTAGGGCAGTGCTAGCTTGACACTGGGCCCCCTCAGATCCTCGGTCAATGGAGGAGTTGACTGGTTTTTTGGCACTTCAGACTCTCCCAATTTAATCCAGTTCGCCCCACCTCAAAAAAAAGTTTAGCATCTGGTCCTGGGAACCGCCAAAAAATGCAAGGCACTGTTCGACGGGTAAACCAAATCGAGCCATGCAGCTTATATAGCTCAACCAATCTCCAATTCGCGCGCTGCCTCGCGCTGCCCACCGATCCACTACAAACTGGCAGTGCAAGCCCTAAGGACACAGGGATCCTTACATGAAAAACACCTGAACATTGCCTTGTAAATGGACCTGGAGGTTTCCCCTTAATTTGGTGTTGGAAAAGCAACATGTTTCAAATGGTTGCAAAATGTAGATCTTTCAAGGAGCCCTATGGACATGTATGGCGTTTAAGGAACTTCTGGAGCGTGCCAAACGTAGAACCACTCCCCCACAGTAGAGGACAACTATTTTCTAGGGATACCTTCCATTTCCATTCTTTCCAGGGATCCGAATCTTTTCAGGAAACCATTAAAAACCCAGGAGAAACGGATCCGGTTTTTGAAAAGAACGATAGTTGAAAAGAATGGACAAGGAATCAACCCCTAGAATTTGGCATGTCTCGTAGGGAAAGTATGTTTGGGGGTCTGAGAGCTTCCAGAATTGCGCCTTTTTGTGATAACGACTCTGGATTCCACCTGCCAAGCCCATGTTGGCCACAGAAAGGCCCTTCAATACTTAAACGGCTCTAAGTATTGAAGGGCCAGGGTACTTGGTTACTTGGTAAGTGGATGGTCTTCCTGAGCGGATTGGCCAAAACAAGCAAACAGTTTCTTTACCGCCAACAGAAACGTCTTCCACCACACAAAAAGTAAAGCCCGAAACGGAAGTCGTATGCATACGCCGCAAACAACTTTTAGTCCAGGGCAGCGGCTCCTCCAGCATTGCTGCCGCCGCGTGGGACATGTAGTCCAGCAGCGCCTGGCCATACAAAACAATAATAACGTATGTAAACACATATCTAGAAAACGGCTTGGATATGGCGAATCTGCGGATCCATGCGGATCCGCCAATCTCTAGGAGTCCGAAAAGAGTACGGAGAAAGGACCAGCAGAGGGAAGAGGTGAAATCCGCCAAAAAAAACAAAGGATGCAAACGGTTTTCTAGAACATGGTTTGGGGTGCACTACTTTAAGGCAACCCCATAAGTGAGCTCATATGTGGATTAACCGATCGGGTACCAAAATGGTGAACCCAAAACCAGGTGAAGAGGTACCAAGGCGGCGAAGGCACCTCATCTCAGGTGACTGTCCCACCTTCAGCTACCCGAATCGGTTTTCAGCACGTGGCTCCATTGAATATACAGTTACTAGGTCCTCCAGATTTGAGAGCTTAGAATAAGGGTACCCGATTTTTTTGCTGTGGTCTATTTTAGTGGAGGAATCCTCCCCCAAAAGAGGGTAAAAGGGCACTACTGCGGAACCTAGGTTATGTACATAACGATAATACCTGCATCCACAGTGTTGTTAATCTCTAACGGGCCTGCTGAGCAAAGCGAAGACGCGGAGAGCAATGCAGTAACATGAGCTTCCCAGGATCCTGCAGGTATGAACGCATTGCGCACTGGCACGCAATGCAACCTTCCCTGTGTCAGGCTTTGAGACGAGCTCGAGTGCCATGAATTTGCACTGATTTTGCTGGCCGCTGGCTCCCGCTCTCAGCCCATACAACGTGACACAAATAGTAATAGGTCCTCCAGCAGAGAGGTTAGAATGAGTTGGTACCAACTTTCCTCTGTAGTCTATTTTAGTAGATGACAGCCCCCTGCGAATCGCCAAAACCCGGCTTCGGTGCCTTGCAGGCGTGGAGCTCCGACTCCATCTCCGGCTGGCGGCGAAGGCACGTCGAAACTTTTTTGGTTCCGAGGTCGGGGCTCGCGGCGTCGGTTTTGCCTTTTTGCGGCCGGGGTTTGGTGGCGACACATCCGAAAAAGTGCCCCAAATACGGGGCGGTGGTGGGTATACTGGCGGTTGGTGGCGGGGTTGGTGGTGGGGTTGGTGGTGCGGTTGGTGGTGATTTGGTTGGTGTTGGTGTCTTTGTTGGGACCCCCACCCCCTGGTGTTTTTCATGGACAACCAAAAGGGCACAATGATTTTCGGGGCTCCGCCAGAAAAGACACACCCATTTGCAGATACTTGTGTAGGCTCCCATCGAAGAACTTGTCGCAAAGAAACGGGTGCAACAAGAAGACGTTTCGACCATGTCCATGGGTTTGGGTAGGCCGCGCCCTTTTCATTTAATGGCAGGCGTTGATTCTGACGTGTTCTTCTGAGATGTGTTCGGTTCTGTTCGGCTTTAGAAGGACACAGTGGTGTTCATAGCTAGTTGATGCGCTCTGTTGCCATTGAGACTCCTGCAGCAAGTCCAAGGACAGAAGCCTCAGGATGCGACCAGCGTGTGAACTGCTCCAGCAAGCGAAAGCGAGGTATAGCTTGAAAGAACAGCATTCAAAAGAATCGATGGAACTCACGCTTCGAACTGTCTCAGAAGCCATCAACAGGGCATATCTAGCAACGCACCAAGCACAGCGGGCCCTTCGCCATTCGAAGGTTTCTTTCTGGAAACGTGTTTTTGCTTAGCGGACACTCCAAGAGGCACGCTTTCTCTGCACCCAAAGAGCTGAGAGTCTTCCCAAATAGACAAAAAGCTCACGCTCCCAAGTCAGTCTGGGAATGGCTATGGTAAACCCCACACAGGGAGATAACGAAATCCTGCACCACCTAATGATTCGATTTCCCTATATACCAAGAAACAGTGGCTTCAACCATGGTTTCATTTTGTGTTGCAAAATGGAGTTCGTCCATCCACAGTACGCACAATTCCCCCATGGAGCACAACCACCCGTATCTGGGGTAGAGTTCGGATGTGTTGCTGTATTAGTTAAATATTGTGTTAGATCTTGGTGATCAATCTAAGATGAAACAACTACTCCTCCAAACCACCAAACCACCAAACCCCTTTGATTTTCAGTTATCACCAACTTTGGTTTGATAAGAGATTACCATGGACCATGCAGGTTGTTCATCCAAATTGGGCCCCAAGGCCATTCTTTTAACCTTCGAAACCCCCATGATATCATGCAGCCCTACCACAACCAAACCCACACCCAAATGATCTTTAAACACGGTTTCGGCCTTTCGGGGCTCGCCGTCATGTTCTGCCAGCCTCCCTAAGAGTCTAAGAGGGTCAGTGAAAAGATCTAATCGGATATCAATTGTTGACATTATGGAACACACTGGACAAAAAACACACACACACACACAAAATACCTGAAACAAGACTGCTTCCACAGAAACAAGCTTCATGGGTGGCATTCCTCAGTTTCACCCACAGCTCGCAATAAGTGAAGAAGATACGCCCAGTTGTCCGATTCGGAAACACTGACTCAAACCTCGAAGGCCTGACACCCAACACCCATGACCTTCGATTCTGCCAAAGTGATTGCAGGTTGATATTGTAGGCCTTGCTGAGCGCACTCAGTTGCCAACACCTTGGGGTTGTACTTTTGTTACAGAGAGGCTTTGGGAAAATGATCGAGATCCCCCAAAAAAGTCACAAGCTATCGTGCGCCAGCAAGTTGGATGACCCCAAGATGGGTTCGTCTTCTTGGAGGGTGCCCTTGGGGTTGCAGGACAAGATGAAACCATACAGAGTGGGTGGGGTCCACCCATGTTTTGAGACAATCAAGAATCAATAGTTTCGATCGAATGCAACACACACACATGATCCTTTAGCGATCGGAGAAGCCGTGTGTTAGCTCCCGTGATCGGCCATGCTTTTGAGTTGGCCTCAGCGCAATTGTGCTGCTTCTGCATCACGTACCTACCGACGTGGCTCGAAACAGGGTGTTCGCCCGTTTGGAGCCGGAAGACCTTTCATCCTACTCGACAAAAGGCGCCTGATGTTCATGACCGTTTCTGTTCAATCCCTGGATCAAGCCGCCAGTATGAGAAAATCTCACATTTGCTTGGGGCGCCAAGGAAAGAAACATGCTAGTTCATCGGTCATGACCAACTGCAGGTGGGCTCTCCTTTGTGTAGAGTCCGAGTTTACGCCAGAAACCATATTGCCAAACACCGACGCCAAACACCCAAAAGCCGAAAGCCAGAAGCAAAACTCATATTGTCCAACATAGACCAATCATGATATGGGCATGGGCACTACTACCTACTGCTCCTCATGCTACTCCTGCTACTGGTGCTGCTGCTGAAACGACTTCTACTGCTACGTACAGCAAAGATCAATGGAGACTGCACCTTGGATCCCATCTCTGCTCTGGGCAAGCGCACTGCTCGGTGACGCTCGTCATGTGAACATCGCAAGCGGCCTCGGTACTCACAAACTGGTGACTAGGTGCGCGTGTTGCTTTCCTCCCATGTCCTCAGGCACAAGACGCCAATCCCAAGAGGGACCCCCCTATTGTTGGACTTATTGGAAACAAGGGACGACCTCTGATCTCTCACCCGTTGCCTTCAACTGTATGCGTGCTCTTGGAGCATGCGTAATAAATGGTCTTGCAGGTGTCAAACAATCTTCTCCAAACAGCCTGCGCAGTTGTCCTCTTCATGAGATATCCATGGGTCTTAAACAGCTTGCCTCAAATCATCACCAACATCTGTGCTAGTTTGTGCTTATGTAGTCAGTGATGAACGTGTGCGAGATGGTGCCATCAGTGGCGTTCCGCGGTCCGTGGTCATGGCATGAGTTTTGGTATGGAGCAACAGCAGCTGACAGGCTGACGCAGCGAGCTTAGCCACCCACCCTCAATTCTGCGTGCAATATCGTAGCGGTTCGCAATCGTACGAGACACAAGACACCATTTCCTAGCGCAGCATTATGGGCAAGGCATGGTGCCTGGCTTCTTGAGTGGATTGGCCAAGACAAGTCGACAAAAAAGGTATCCTTTTTTGGTTGGTTGAGTTTCTAGGTCCTCCAGTAGAGAGGATAGAATAAGGGTACCAACTTTTTCCGTGTTCTATTTTTGTAGGAGAACCCTCCCCCAAAAAAGGGTAAAAGGGCACTACTGGGGGACCTGGGTTTAAAGGGGAACCCTGCCAAAAAAAGGGAAAAAGGGGAGCCACTGGGCAATGGGGAGTATGATGAGGTAGCTCATATTTGTGGACCGGTCCCTTCGACTCGCCTAAGCGATTGTTCGTCGCTTGCTTGCGATCGCTCGCTGCTCTCCGAGTCCCGCACAACACCTGCGCGGCAGTGCTCGAATACTCAAATCCAATCTGAACAAATTGCCGCAGTTCCCGATCTCAGATGCCCGGTTGATTTCCATGGGAAACAAGGGCATCCTTTTTGGTTGGTTGACTTTAAAGGGCAACTTCCGCAAAAGAAAGGAAAAAGGGGCACCACTGGGCAACCGGAAATAAGAGAACTCCCCAAAGGAGACTCGTGGAGCTCGTTTAGCCCGTGGATGTGAGCTCGATGTAATTGGTCCAGAAGCCATTTGTGATGGATAGGGTAGGTGCTGCCTAGTTGGAGTGTCTGCGGTTTCCTGCCATCCTTCCAACAACCGAAGGCGAGTTCATCAAGCGTTGTCATACCCACTTGTGCCCGTGGTCTTTCCCATGTATAGTTATCCATGATGTTCGTCCCAGAAAGCCTTGGCTGTTTCTAAGGGCACGCTCCCTGCCCTATGAGTACGACGTACCGAGGCTGGTGGATACTGTATCTCGCCATACTTAGCAGTCAGCAACAAGCAAAACAGGAGCTCTCTGCGAATGGCTGCCCTTACCCTGAGTGTTTGCCCGAACAACAACTGGTGATGGGATTCTGCACAACTGAACTCGGATCTTGACATTGACAAAGCACACCCGTATCTAAGATGAGAGGCATTCGAACAAGTAACTCCTCTGTCAGTGCTTGGATTGTGTGTCTCTTGGATTGCATCCCGGGAATACACTTGTTCAAAGGCCAAAAGCTACAGGGACCGACTCCAAGCCCTCAGCAGCCAAAAGCAAGTCCCATGCAGTGGGCGCTTTCCAGTTCGATGCTGCTAGATGTGACAAGTGCACTCAAGTGAGCGAAGCTTCCTGTTGAAAGTGATTGAGCTGTCCTGACTGCATGGTGCTACCAACTGCAGTATACCATACCCCCTGCTCCCAATCATGGAAGTGGACAATTGGCTTTTCCACCAGGATCGTCTCCTTTCAAAACCCTCCTGCCTTCCATGATTGGAAGGAGAGTACATGCTCATTCTCGAAGGTCCACCTTCGCCACCTTGAGAGTTCCTTATATTTCCCCTTAACTCATCACTTCCTAGTAGGGAAACTCACCTAACCCTTGAATACTTAAACCACCCAAGAGCGAACTAAGCATCGACGCACCAAACCTTCAAGCCCACATGGCCTTGCAACCTCCAGCCATGACTGTAACCCAAGCGGCGCCTGGATATTTTTTTGCCAGACCCCACGATATCTTGGCTCTGCTGTGTATCTCGACTGGGAAGTAGCTTGTTTCGAGGACCCTGGAGCACATCGAACTCGAGAGTGCCCAGACTCTCTGGCCTTTGAGCTTGAGACAACCCTGGGCCAGCCAATTTGGCGGATCAACAGGGGGAGTTTCGAGAGTGAACCGGATCCCTTCTAAAATGGGATACCCCCCAGTCTTGATCAACTAGGGGTTTACTCCACGGTCAAATTCCTCATGGCCTGAATAGATCGAATTGGGTTGCGGGGGAACTGAAAACCAAATCGAGTCATGCTCAGAAAAGAGAAAAGCAAACGATGTGAATATCAGAACCTTGGCAGAGCTGGCCCCCGACTTATTTCAACACCATCCAACATCTATATTTGGTTTAAGCCAGTGGCCTGCCGTGGATGGGCAAAATCCTTCACCACCTAAGAAACCCTGGAATGATGACTACCTGGTAAATGCCAAACAATGTTTTCCCTTGGTTTCCAAGCGGTGCGAATTGGATTTCGCAATCATCCACAGTACCAATTGTGTTCCTAACCCTGCCCCTATCCCAATATGTCTCCTCCAATGGTCACCCAACCAAAAGGGAACTCCCTTTTAACTTGATCCCACAGATGACGGTTGAAACCACCAACCGGCGGAACAGGGATCCTTACATTATACACCTGAGCATTGCCTTGTAAATGGTGGTATCCCTTTATTTTGGTGAACAAAGCCATGTTTCAAATGGGCAACATGTATCTTTTAAGGAGCCCTGGGACATTTAGGGCGTTGGCCCGTGCGGCACCGTTTGCAAAGTTTGACGTCGCCTGCTTCTTGGCCCAGCGTGCGCACCGCTTGCGCAGCCGCTTCAGCCTGGCATCGAAGTGGTCAAAAGGTTGGTTGCATTTGCTGAATCGACCAGCCGGCCACATGAAACCAAAAGGGAAAAAACAAAGACATGGTAGTTGTCATACATCCCGTCATACATATGTATATTTCAAAGACATAGTCATAGTTTGGTGGTTTTTCTTACATATGCATATTTCGAAGACATAGTTTTATCTTTGTTTCTTTGCTCACCATGCTGAATCAAGAACTTGCCGCGAAACCTGCTCAAATAGAAACCAAAGGCAGTCACTCGATCGAGAGGTCCTGTCCATGGGATCACTCACAGATGACATGGATTCCTTGTTGGTGTCCTTTTGGAATAGATGGCAGCAAAAGAAACGGACTCTGAAAGCGGAATCCATCTAACCTATAGGGAACATATTTTTACCTGGATCAGGCTCGGGCCCACGAAATGTGAAGTGTTTTCCGGAAAGGACAACGTTCGAACACCAGAAAGGCAAACAGTTCAAAGGGTACACGCTAGCCATGTAAACGGCAAGGAATGTCCGTAAGTCATGCACCCACTCACAAGCCCGGGTGTCTTCCTTTCAGCTTCATTTAACCACACTGATCCAAACGGGCAGCTAGCACGGGCGATGCGGGTTTTCAGGCTTATGGGAATTTACACAGTCGAAGGCATCTTTCTGCCGAACAACTTGAGGTTTAGCTTCCCATTTCGCAACTCATATGGCCATGGCTCAAAATCCAAATCGGTTAGCCCCCACCATCCCAAGCCAACCACTAAAATAGGTTCTAAAATGGGTGGGGAATTCACCTACCCCAAAATGGGATCCCATTGGCTTCGACAACCACAGCCATATGTGGTTCTGAAAGCACGTCTCACATCTTTTGTCACAAGTGGCAGAGCAGGACGCAATGTCTGTAGGCCTGAGCCTGACTGCATGCCAAGGACATCTGCACACAAGCCGCTCCCCCGGCGGGGTAGACCAACTGGTGTGAGAAGAGTGTGGGTGGACGGATGGCACCATTGTCCCCCAAAACTGCGCAATCCTCGCGGCACATGTAGGCCGGCGTATTGAGCTTCATCCAGATAGACGTTTGTAGCATCTCTGGCTTGACCACAGTTCCTTGCACAGCGTTCTCTTGTGCAGTCATGATTGCAGAACAGTTTGACAGGTGTCAGGCAATGCACCCAACCCGGACGACTGGCAACCAAGCGACGTACTGGTTCCAATCCTGCACCAACCCTCAATCATGGCTCCTTTCACTTCCTGCTTGCCCGCTTTCGCCATGCAGCTCTGGAAGAAGACAGGCTCATCGTTGGCGGATGCGGACTTGACCCGGTGTCTCTCACGGGTTTCGCCGACACTTCCAACACTACTCTGCTGAATCGGTCGCAGTCCCATTCAGCCTCAGCTCTGCGTGAAAGTCTGCATATCTTGGACCTGCCTGAAAATTAGTGAGCTCCAAGAGCAGCTGGGAGCTGCTTCCCATGCTTTCTGGTCCAATCTAACCCGCCTTTGCCCGTTGCCCGGCATCACAGCCCCTGTCAGACTGACCTTCGCTTCTGGTTGCTCCTTCCGCGATTTTTTTGGCGGCCTGTGCGTGCTGTCTTGTGCAGCACAAGCCTTTGTTCGTTATCCAGTATATGGCAAACATGTTTGTTTATCGAGTTCGAGTCATGCAAAATTCGATGAGTCGGCTAAGCAACTCAGACACAGACTCGGAGCGCACGGCTACTCCAGTGATCAGAAGCGAGAAGCGGAGACCGAGCGCCATTCGTGCCGTCGCGCAAACAGTACTTGGCAGGTTTGATGGATCCTGATTGACTTGGCCTGCTGAGCCCACGATACAGAAACACTGTGCTACAAGCCTTGCAACATCCTGCAGTGGACAAAACCGGACCCACCTTTGTTTGAAATCCCCTTTTTCTCGGAGACAAAATTACTCCCCGGCCGAAAAAAACTTGTTTTTGGGGGACCCTTGCCAGAGGCTGGCAAGAAGTTTTTCTGGGCGACGAGCCCCTCCGGCGCCCGCCTCGGCCCCGATGCTCTGCAGGTGCGAGTTGAGGTGCTGCAGAACCTTCTGCAGCGCCTCGCGAGGCGCACCGACGCCTCCCTTCGGCGCCGAAGGCGACCAGAGGCGCCGAAGGGAGCCGAGCCTATACGTTCATCGCCCCCCTCCGGAGCCTCCCCCCCAAAAAAAGGTTGCAACGGGTAGTTGCATTGCAATTTTGCCCACACCCCCCAATTTCAATTAGTTAGGGGGAGGTGAGAATGGTTCAAGCCAAATCGAAAGAATGGCCCAAGGCCCAAGTTGGACGAAAATCCTGAGGTGAATAATGGTGGTGGTGGTCACCCCATTGTTCTACCTGCGAACAGCTAGGGGAAACTGGCCCAGGTGATTAAACCAAGGCGAAATATATACCGAAGCATGGTCAAAAGCTAGAAACGCCGGAAAAATAAGATGCTTCATTTGGGACTGGTGGGTAGCTTCGAGGAAATTTATGTCCGGCAAGCGATTCTATCTAGCTTTTGGAGGCATCCAACTCAATTTGACACATGGCCATTCTTGGCATTCCTTGTGGCGAACCATGACGCACTCTGTCCAAAAGAGGATGGTCCTTTCGCCACCTCGTTCTGGACCAGTTTGGCATACCCCCGACAGAATACCCAGACTTTAGGGGGAACCACGCTGTTCTCCAAAAGAACATGGTCGCAAAGAGCAACCAGACTTGTCCCCCCCATAGTTTCAAGTCTCGCAAACCCCAAACAGTACACAATCCGACATCGGTTGTTCAAACTCCACCTCCGTTTGAACAACACAATCCATTGATAGCTTCCCTTCAAAAACCACCAGACAAAAGTAAACATTAGACCAATGGAGCAGAAACTCGGGAGTTGGGCATGAATTAAAACTAGGAAGCCAATTTGGCATCAAACATTTTCTTGGGGGGGTCATCCACCCGCCACTTCTGAGGCGCTTCAAAAAAATGATGCACACACACAAAACCAAAACAACTCGCCACTTGCTCAGCTGGAAGTGAAATTGGGCGAGTTTCGGCCTGCAGCTCGTGCCGCATCTCCGGGTCCTCCACATCCTGGACAACCCGATCCCCAAGAGGACGTTGAAACCTCACTTAGGCCTGGTCATGTTGACCCAGGATTCATAAACCAGTCCCATTATTAGGGGGGTGGTCCCTCCAAAACTGATGATTCCCCACTAAAAGGGGACACCCCCCAAAAAAATCAGCCAGGGGGTTGTGAATCCGGGGTCAACATTACCCAGAACCGCCGGAGGGTTCCGAGGTCACTTTCTGAGTGGGTTGGCCAAAAAGCAAAGGACTTGCTTTGTAAGGGGCCAATTTGTTGTTCAATTTGCTGGGGAATTGATGGGAATTGCACGTGCAGCCCACCTATAACATATATACATATATGTAATATATATATATATATGTTTAATCCTGCTTTCTAAACGGCACCAAGGTTGGCGAAAAGGTATAACCCTGGTCATACGAAGTGGCCTGAACATCTAAGTTGGGTTTGGACCCCCAAAACCCATGGGTTCTTAGAGGACCCCAAAGTCCATGGGGTCTTCGGGGGACCTCCTTTTGCCCCCCACCCTTCTCTTTTTTCGGCACCCGGCGAAAGGCAAAGCACTTGCCGCAGAGATTCCCCGAGACGTGCATTCCGGAGTCCAAGATCAGTCAGAACTCTAGAGAAGATAAACCCTAAATCAATTTATGGCCAAACGCAAACTACTGGATCGGAGGATAAGCTATATTACGTGATCCCCTCATATTCTCCCTTGCAGTTACTGGGCTGCCCTCAGATCCCCCGCTAAGAGTTTAACTTTGAGTGGGTCAAATTCGGAAACTGCCACTAAACGCTAAAAAGATCTAAAAGGCTAAGGAACCGGATGGCTGGGAGCCACCAAGGTTAGATTTTCCCCTAATTCTTTCACCCCTTTTCTCCCACCCCCCCCGCCTTCTGTGGCACTGGCATGGGAGCATCATCCAGGTTCAGCCTCGTGGCGGGAGTGTAAGGGACCCAACAACCCAAAAATGGCACAAACAAATGTGTTTGGCCACACTAGATGGACCCAATTGAAAGACCCCACTCGAGATTGAGAAACAAAACGAACCTGGCGTCAGGAGAATCCCATTATTTTCTCACCAAAAGGACAATGACTTGCCACGTGATGTGGAGGGTCCATGGACTTTGCGGCCCTGGATGTTGAAAAGGAAACCAAAGGACAACGAACAGCCCAACTCTTCGGCGGCAACCCCCCAACCAAAATATACTGCCCTCTTTCCAGCAAAAGTGGACGGCTTGAGAGAATGGTCGGATGCATCATGTCCGTGTGCTTGGTCCTCTTCTGGGAAACCTGTTTTTTGAGTTGCTCTACCAAATCGCTGCTCGCATGTCTGTGGCGGCCTTGAATCGCATATCTCCCCCACTCTCCCGCCCTCGGTCCCTCCCTCAGATTGGCCAGACCATCACTTGCAGTTTTTGATTGTTGTGGAAGCACTTCCAAGATAAAAAGCTGAACAAAGGCAACGCCTGCCGGAGCAGGCGTCTTCACTTGGTCCACATCTGGGGTACAGAGAAAAACATGTTGGTTCATGTCTAGCCTAAGCTAAAATATAGACTAAAGTTGAAGATCCCAGCTTAAAGGATACATCCAGAAACCACATCTTTTTCTTGGGTACAGTTGCTGTTTCTTGCTTGGGTCAACTATGGGTATGGGCCCGGTATGGGTCAATATTGAACCACTAGGATATGGCCAGACAACCATTTTGGGTTATATGTATTGAAAATTTGCTGGTGCTGGGTTTGACCCAGGTTTTGGGAATGAACCGGATTCCTTGGGATTCCCTAGGAAACCAAATCGGGGATTCGGCTTTTCTCGGGGTCTTCAACCACTTCTCTTTTTCCCTGCATCTCTCGCAGCGGCATATTTTTTTAACCGCCTGGAACCGACCTCTCGGGTTATTCCTTGCGGGTGCCCTCAGGGTTTCCTAGGATTCCTTACGGGAGCCTTAGGAAATCCCCCTCCCCCCCTTGCACTAGCACTCCAAAGATAAATTTTTAGAAATCCCTCCCCCTTGTCGGTTGCAGTGCCTTAGGAAATCCCCCCCAACCTTCCTCCGTAGGAACTCCCTCCCACTTCCCCCACCCACCCCACACACCCACCCCCCTTCCACCCCCGCCCCCTTCAAGACACTCCAACCCACACCCATCGCCCTCCGCCCGCCCATCGGCATCCATCGATCCCTCCGCCCATCGGCTCCCTCGGCTCGCTCGGCCCAAAAAAATCCCGGTCCAAGGCGCATGTGGCGCCCTGCAAAGGCCACCTCCCCGCTCAAGGTGGGCGCCTCCAGCCCGAAGAGCCGACGCTCCAAGACCCCCAGCTGCTGCAAAAACTCCTGGCGCCGCGCGCGCGCGCGCCAAAGGAGCGGCACCAGCTAGAAACCTGGGTATCGGGCAAAAACATACATGTATGGGTTAGCTACCATTATAAGGCTTCCAGGTACATGTAAAAAAACAGAAGCAACAAGTACCTAGTTGCCTACTTGTAACAAAGAGAAACTATGTACCTGGCAAACACAAACTCTGGCTACCTACTCATAGCTTCCAGTTGCCATACATAGCCAACAGAAACTACGTACCTGGCAAAACAAAGAACTGGGCAAAACAAAGCGAGCAACGGCCGCAAAATAGAAACCATGGCTTGGGCCACTCTCCTTCCATTTGCTTAAGCCCCGTGGAAACAAGTATCCTGTAGTGATAGATTCCCTTTAAAACCGGCAAGGGAAAATAAACATGTTTTTGATCCGCACATGCCACCTTTTCGGCCAGGGAGAGACCCCAGTTCAGGCCACAACCTCCGGCTGTTTTTCAGCCTCAAAGGTGCCTGAAATGAAGAGCGGCCCAAGCATCGGGGCGGTCTGGGAGGGTGAAGCTTGAGACGAACAAAGGTCAAGACAATCCGTCAGAAGCTACTCAAATCCGTTCAAGCACTACTATGATCCGCACATGCCACCTTTTCGGCCAGGGAGAGACTCGAACTCCAAGTTCAGGCCACAACCTCCGGCTGTTTGTCAGCCTCAAAGGTGCCTGAAATGAAGAGCGGCATTTGCACATCCCTTGCCGTCTTGACCCCAAAATTGCATGCCAGCTGGCTACGCCGAACTCGCATTGACATGGCGCTCAAACTGCCTGGCAATCTGTTCCACCTCCGTGTCTTTCAAACATTTGGCAATGGCCGTGCACATGCGGGCAGGGCAAGGCTGTGCCAGCTTAGTCAACCAGTTGCCATGTTCATCTTGACCACAAAGAGGAATGTGGGTGTTGCCAGTGAACCATTTTTTGAAAGCCTTTCCCCAGGCGCAGTAATGCGTAACATGCCATGAAACATGCCGCCTTCGTCTCAGTGCCAGTAGAGGTGGGCACAACCAAATACGAGAACGGGCAGGATTTTCCATGCTTGCGGTATATGGAAACGAAGGGCGAGGTTCAAAAGCCAGGCTGAAAAACGCATCATCTGATTCCCAAAACAGACCTTGACCTTGTCGTGCGGCCTCAAGAAACACAAGCCGAGAGGCTGCTTGTCGGAACGCAGTGGTGGAGGTCCTGGAGGACGATCACGGGCCCTTGAAAAAACTCTCACATGGTGTACCGAGGTGAAAACCTTTAACAGCCCCAGATTTGATCCACTCCCCCAACATTCGCCTTTTGCTAGCGTTGCACAGATCATATTCACAGCCGAGCGTTATGTCCCACAGCAAGGTCGGCCACCCTGTTTCGCGGGCGACTGCTTGGGCAAGGTTCCCGACTCCACCGAAAATCTGGGACCGGAGCTTTGATGCAATCTGGTCCGCGGCGAGGATGGCGCTTTCGCGTGTGGCCTTTGGCAAAGCCTGCAGCTGCTGCGTCAGCCTTCCACCCTTCTCGTACCTCCTCACGCTCCCGAATGACCTCCACCTTCCTCTTCGCTGAATCTCCACCAAGGTCCGCCACCTCTGTGCGAAGCGAGACTGGGCCCTCCGTGTCGAAGCCTGTAAGGGTGGGGGGGCCCAATCGCCTTCACCATCCTCAACTCTTCTGCCTCCGTTGCCATTGCTGCCCCGACCTCCTTGACAGTCACCTTGAACATGGCCTCTTGGGGTGACCTCCACGGCAGCCTCAGCAACCGGTTGAGTTGCTCCGGAATGAACCAAAACTGCTCGAGATCGCACAGCACGGTCTCGTCGAACTCGGCCGTCTTTGACGGCACGTGCTCCTCCGCCGGATGAAGGATCAGAGACCAACACTGGAGAGACCCCACTGGTGGGACCAGATCCTTCACCCGAAGCCGTGGCACCTCCCCCGGCCGTAGGTAGCACACGAAAGCCACCAACATGAACAACGCGATCTCCCCTTCCCCTTGTCCATGCATTTCAGGGCAATCAGGCACACCACTTCCCAGGGCAGGGGCAACCGCGACTTCGGAGGATCCAACTTCCTCCAGCCCTGAAAACTTTGCCTTGTCAGCGGCATCAGCTGCTGCCTGTGCAACTTCAGCCATGGCATTTTGAACTGAACCGCCGCCACCATGTACTGCGCTTGAGAGAGGTCCTCGTTGTTGTCGAACATTTCCTCCAGCATGGCTTGCACGGCTGCATCGACCTCCTGAGCCCCCAGCTGCTGTTTGCCACCACTTTCTGAGCCTTGCAGAACCTCTCCCAGCATTCATTGTACTTTCTTCGTGCTTTCACCCCAACGGATGCCTTGGCCAGCGACCCTACCTCTGCTCGCAACTGCTGTCTCCTCTGAAGGGACGCTGACACTGAGAGACTGAGCCGTTTTTGTGGCGCGCTCGCTTTCTTGCTGGCCGGCCTCTTCAAGACCTGAATCACAGGGGGCACTTGCCGGTGTATCATGTGTGGGGTCACTTGGCACGCTGGGAAATCTTGAGCCTCTGGACGGCCCATCAGCAGGGTTCCATTCGCTTGCTCCCGGTGCTCAAACACAGGGCACCGACCTGTTGAGAAACTCTCCTCATCTTGAACCGCCTCCCTCGTCCCCGATCAAGACAACACACTGCAGTAATGCTATCCGACAACACAAGATGCCGCTTGTGAAAGTTGTCAGCTCTGCGAAGAACATGTTTGACCGCATACAGGGACGCCCGAGCTTCAAGAACGGGGATGGCCTCCTTTCGAGCCCATTTGAAACGACCAGTGACAGTCCACTGCTGGAGCACGTCCTCTTTGGCAACAGGGCTAAAAACTTCTGCGTAGCGGCTCGGGCCGGGCCTCGCCGGGTTGAGCTGCATACGCCCACCCCAGCGCCGCGGCATCCTCACCGTCGGTCACAGTCGAGTAGCCGAAGGCAGTTGCACGCGGCTTGCTGAAGTGGGGAATATCAAACCTCCATCTCTCAGAAAAACGCCCCAGTTGTTGTACCCGTTCCCGGTCGTACGAAGCAGTAGTAGCCCCAAGGCCCCAGGTAGAAGCATCAACAGCTGTGACTTCCGAACTCCATGGAATAGTCAAATCCCGCCAAATAAGAGGAGCGACTCCAATCCAGATACTCATTTCTCGGCGAACTGAGCCCCAAACACGATGTGGCCGATTGTAAAACCTCTGAATGAACGTGTACGTCTCCCCAAAAACGCTCAACACCTCCCTCCTACCAAGCGCAATGAACGTGGCGTGGCCCAGGATCTTTTCGAGCTGGCGACCGGTGGCAAATCCAGTCTGAAGCACTCGCCTCAAGGCAAGAATTACTCTCCAAATTCTGTGCCGCATAGGACGCAGTCGCGCTTGCTCGAATTCCCACCCAAGTATCTTGACGGCCCCGGACGATTTCTCCTCCTCGTGCACCACGAGGCCCTTGCTTCGCAGTGCATTTACTCCAGCAGAAGCCCAGTGCATCGACCTGCTCCTCTGAAGTTCCTAGCACCACATAGTTGTCAACGTACTCCAGATGCATGCGTTCCCCTGGAGGAATCGCGGCCTTGTCCTGCAAACACGACGCCGGCCCCGCCCCAACCTCCGCGACTATACGCTAATGGACAGTCTGGCACCACCACAAAGCATGACTCCAGCCCATAGGCAACACCCTCAGCATTGGACAAATGCAGGATGTGGGGGATAGGGCAATGCCTGCACAGCAGCTAACTCCGACCTTCCCAGCGACAAGGGCGGGAGCCTGAAATAGCCTCGGAGTTCCTGGGGAAGCTCCAGGTGGTAAAATGCGTCTTTCAAATCGGCTGTTGATGTGTGAAGCACTGCATCCTCACTCAGCTCAATTCAGTGCGCCTGCAGTCCACCACGCGAAGACGCCCATCCATTTTGCCGACAAAGAAAGCGCCAACCTCTTCACGAGGAGGGCTGACTGCGAAATCCACCGAACAACCTGGCCACGAAAATCCTGTACATCTTAGGGTCACGCAGTTTTGGATCCATGTAGCACTGCTCAACCCCGCAACCCGCCAGTTGTCTTCGCGCCTCATCCTCACTCAAGAGTCTCGAGCGAATGAACTCGCCCACAATCATCTGCCCGTCCTCCCCCAACAAGTCGGCCAAAGGGACTGGAACGTTCCCCTTCTCCGGCAGCGAGAGGAGTTTCGGGTCATAGGGCTTGACAGTTGACGGGGTCTGGTCTTCCCCATAACCATCAAAGGCTCGAAGCTGCCGCAGCGCCTCTGAGCTAATCAACCCCTCCGGATATTGTCAAAAACCATCGCCTGTGCTTTGGAGAGCCTCTGGCCACCGGTGCAACCAATGCCTAGGGGCTCCCCACTGTAAAGCGAGTTCAAAGCTCGCACAAAGTCCTCCACCATAGCCATTTGATGTCCTCTCCTCGAGAGTCCAATCGCCTCCTTACCTTTCGAGAGCCAGAGAAGCAAACAGGGCTCGCCGAAGAACCGGTGCTGGGCAAGGGAAAAATGTCCCAAGCGACTTCGCGCCCAGGATCACAACCCACGTGGACCTGAATGGGGTCAGGATGTCCCTCTCCTCACGAGCCTCCCTCATGTTCTGCAACTGGACATCCTTCTCAACTTCAATCTTGACGTGGTTGAGGAGGGCCGGAGCGATCATCAGGGTACCTGCCTGCCGGACCAAATTCGCGAAGGTGTATTGCTCCTCCAACGACAGTTTCCCACCAACCGTTTTGCTCTCCAGTTCCCTCGCTTTTTCAGAGTGCGCATTCTCGATGGTTTGCACCCTCCGAAACATCAGCTCGACACCCATGGAGTTGCAGCCGTCGATCTGGTCGACCTGAGTCAACTGCCTCAGGATCATGGACATCTGGAAATGCTCCTGCACACCCCAGGCAGCCCCATCCAATTTTCATTGCTGCCTCAACCTCTCATGATGCGCTTCAAAGCCAAGCCCCTCGACAGTCAGATAGTTGAGACACCACCTTGCTGTGCGGGGCCCAACTAGGGGCCATCCCATTTCCAGCTCAACTGATTCGCTGACCACATCGGCCAGCGGCCTTTGAACTTGATCGGCAAGATCCGCGCGTCACAAGCTGCTGGCCGGCCATTGAAACTGGCCACACGACTCTCGTCCAGACAGATGCAAAAAATCGCTTGTCCGTCCGGCATGACATGCACCGCCTTCGCCCCGACTGAAGCAGCTGCTGCAACTCCTGCCACCACCTCACCATAGCGCACACTTCCAGTGGCCTCAGCGGCAACCCACGTCAGCTGTCCTCCAGGAAGACCACAAGCCCCCGGCGCCTCCCGATGCAAGACCACCTCGGGACCGGCGGCCCCCCAGAGCAAGGGGCGGCCACCATCACTCCTCCGGCACCTCCTCTAAGGGTCCGCTCGGCTTGTGCCTCCACGGTTGCCTGAGCCTGGATCGCCGCCATCTTGGCAGCACTCCACGCTGGCAAACCATAGACCTGCGCGCCGGCCACCCCTGCTGGCACTCCACCGGCTGGCCTGAGTCTGAAAGCCCGGAAGTCGTCATTGTCCACTGTCAGCGTCTCAACAAAAATGTCTCGATCAGGTGTGCAGACAACATAGTCGTCCCCCTCCACATGCTCCAGGATCCACCTCTCATGGACCACTAGCGGCCCAGGCACATCATACTCCACCAGGGCGAAGCGCCCTTGTAGGGCCATACCGCCTCAACCTGATCTCGGCCAACTGATTGTGGGCAATGGTTTTCACGGACAAAGGACTGTCACTCGGCAAATTTTGCAGCTGTACCTCCTCCTGTCGCTCCACCCTGCAGCACCCGCCCTTGTAACAACAAAAGCAGGTCAGAAAGATGACTGTTGTAACCGACACTGCGCCAGCCACAAAAACCCACCACCCTGCCTTGTTTCCTTCGTCCAAAACCACACCCACTGATCCAGCCGGTGGCCCAGAAGGCTCGGGAAAACCACGGCTCCGCACCGGCCTGTGATCTGCCTCTGCGTCCAGGTACTCCCGAAGAGCAACGCTGACTGCCCGCTGGACCGCCGGTTCAATGGCCAACGGCAAAGCCCTGTTTAGCCCTGCCCAGAAGACCAGGTTACCCACAAAGATCAGCTGGCCGGTGAGTGCCCCAAAGAGGAGTGCCCACCAGCACGGAAAGCCCATGGCAATGCGACCCAACCTTTTGAAGCTTGAGACGAACAAAGGTCAAGACCGGCCTCAATCCGTCAGAAGCTACTCAAATCCGTTCAAGCACTACTATGAGCAAATGGATGTCTCCTTACGGTGTCCCTTGAAAGGCGTCGGTTGCTTCAAGACAGTTTGGAGCCAAATTTTGGTGACCGGTGCTGGGAACTGGCTGCGCTCGTTGCATAAACGATCCCAGGTGCTAAGCCTCGCCCAGGGCGCCTTTTGGGCCCATGACTTTCCTCTAGGGGTTCTGTTCCAGGTGTCTTTTGGAATCCCGTTGGTCGCTTCAGGGACTGAAAGGAGCTCCACAACGTGTGTTTGGAACTGTGTGTCTCAAATGGGGCTTTGGACAAACATCGTGTGTGCATATGTATATATATATATGTATACATATATATATGTGTACATATATATATATATAGGTACATATATATGTATATATATATATATATATGTATCAGTAGATATGTTTGTTGTTGTTGTGTTTCTTTTTCTCTCTTTTTTGGTTGGGGCGGGGGCGGGAACACACGTATCCTGTTTGTTCACTTGCTTGTTGGTGTGTGCCAAATAGCCAGCCACTTTCACAAGAGCCCTCGCGTTTCACTGTTTTTTCATCTTGCAACAGGAGGTTTCTCTGATGTTGGTCTACTTGCCACAACGGGACCCGGATGTTGGTTCTTTCGCGCAAGGACCAGTTGCTTTTGTTGTTGAAATGGGGATTTTGGAGTTTTATCAGCTTCCCTCACAACGGGTCCTGGATGTTGGTTCCTTCCCGCAAGGGGACCAGTTGCTGTTGTTGAAAAGGGGATCTTGGAGTTTTATCACCTTCTTTCTAATTGATGGCTTGGATTGTGGTTAAGGGTGGTTTCCTGTTTACTCTCAACAAGAACCAAGGGTTCAATTCCCCAAACCACCAATCCAACCCACCAATGAGTGGATACTTGACTTTATGTGTTTTTTCTCAAACTGAACATTCCGCCCAACTCCTAGGTCTGTGTTTCTGTTTTTTCGCAAGCGGACACCTGAACATACTGTCCTTCGGTTTCCTTATTGCTATTCTCACTTCCTGAATGGACTGGCCAAAACAAGTCGAAGCGTTTTGTTTACCACTAAAATGGTCTTCCCAGAAAGTATGAAGTCCATGAAACCCAGAAGTGAGTCTTACTTGCTGACCCCGCAAAGAAACAAAGGAACAAGTCCAGAAACTCGGGAAGTGTGTGCACAGCTAAGAGGCACAACATTTGCAGTGTGCTGAAGAGTGCAGGGTGAGGTTGGGAGGGAGGGCCAGTGTGTGAGTTGAAACTTGGGCGGCGCTGTTGGGTGCCAATGCAAGATGTTGCCGGCGAGTGAGATCGAGACTTGCTCGCAAATGACAAAGCTTTTGGCTGCATGCGGTTGCAAGTGCCCGGTATTGTTGCATAGTGTGTTGTACGGTTGGCACAGCAAAATGATAGCCGCTGTTGTTGATATGTCAAGCACCTGCTATTCAAATACATTTCGTGCCATGTGCGGTCTGTGCTGGTGCAACCCTGTGTTTTCTCTACCGGGGTTCGGCACAAGCTGCAACATTGCAGAAGCTTCCAGGCATGTACCTTGTTGCACCCTCCAAATGGCAGGGTCGATTGCATGAACCCCCCCCCCCAAACAAAACACACAAGGAAGAGGAAAAACAAAACAGACAAAGAGAGGACCGTCTAAGATATGAGTTGGGACCATCCAAACGCTGTACATTCGTGGACCTTTTGGCATGTAGCAGGTTCATGACTGATCCCAGCATTGTTCGCCAAACGTTGGCGGTCACCCTGTTGTCGACCTTTGTGCCAGCCTTCTGCCAACATGTTGTCAACTGCGTGTCGTCCTTTGTCAGCCTTCTTGTGAACCTTTTGTCACCCGTTGTCAAGTTGCCAAGAGCTCCTCAACCTCTAACATTTTGCCAAACTTGTGCCACCTGTCAATCTTCTGTCAACCTGCCTCTGTTTGTCCCTCAACCTGCCGCTCCCTCAATTTGTCCCTTGGGTTTGGCTTCGGACCCCGAGCGAGCCATGGGCGCGAAACCCCGCGGTCCGTTTCCGCGGTCCGTTTGCGCGCCTTCCTGGGGTCTGCGATGCTGCGGCGGTGCCGCAGGAAGTGGTAGGCGTCCCGTAAGCTCATCCTCTCCTCGCTTCGCCGATTCGCCGATTGGACAAAAATTCGCCGGGAGAAAGGGAGGGGCAAAACGGGCGAGACAGGGCGAGATAGGGCTACTGGAAAAACTGCTGGACCGTGCCTCTCCTTCCTGTGTGGGTCGTGGAAAAGGCCGGCTTTGTGGCCTTGAATCCTTTTTGGCTCCAATGCTGGGTCAGGGCTCCCGTATAAGGAATCCTTATCGCTGTTTGCTGAACTGCTAGAGTGCTGATGACCATCCCCAACCCCAAGTGAAGGGGTGTTTGGACCATGGCCCCTGACAAAGTAAGCAACAGTCAATGGGTTCCCGGTGAGGGCGATTGCCCAACTTATCTGTTTAAGGGGAGACCAAAGGGAAACCAAACCATATTGGAACCTGACCAAAGGGCTAACTAGTTACACAGGATTCTATTAGCATGGCTTGGGTTTTAAAGCCACAACACTTCTAATTGTTGAGGAACCCAGCCCCAATCCAGAATCTTTCCCTGAGAGGGTGGGATTTAAGACCTACTGTTGTGGAGGGACGAAATCCTGCACCACCTAAGAAGCCCTGGAATGATGATTCCCCTGTAAATACCAACAAACAGTGGTTTCGCATGGTTTCACAGTGGTGCAGGGGATCCAGCCACAGTGAGGAACCTCAAGGACCTCCCGATGAGCTACCCGGTCAGCTCGTCATTCAAGTACCAAAAAACCATCACACCCGTGAAGTGCCCCGTTTTCTCTTGGTTTACCTGCGAAAACAATATTCAAAAGCGGGCATGTGGCGTATGTGAAGTGTGCGCTCCCCGGCCCTTTTGAACCCAAGTTGCAAACTCATGTGTTGGGTACTGATAGGAGAATGCACATATTCATCTCTTGATTGGCATGGCAACTCTGGCCCCCTGCACAGGCGGGTCCGCGAAGGGAACAAGGTGGCCAAGTACTGAATCACATGGGGTTGCCTTTGTTTGGGGAACCCCCCCCAAAATCGTGGCTTTCCTCCTGGTTTTGCTTTGAAACCAACCAGCTCAAAACAGACACCCCCACAGGCTCCAGAAAGAGGACTTGAATGTCGGGCCTCTGAGTTTCTGCGGACCCTTAGGTCAACCCTGGGCACCCCTTGTTGGTTCATGGATAAACAAGAGAACCGGCATGAAACCAACGTACAGAGTCCATACGTTTGCACACACCGCAAAAAAAATAAATGTAAAATTAGGACCTTCCCCGTCCGATCTATGCATGTACATTCTGATCAGGGGTATAGTGCGACTGGGGGAGGGGAAGGGGGAGTTGAGCCACAGTGTAGACATCTACTTTCACCCAAGCTAAATGGAATATACGGTCCAATTTTGTCCCCAAGCTTAGTTACGTCGCCACCTGAAGAATTTGCATCACACCAGGCTGACCCTCCAACGGCACGAGACACCCTGTGGAACAGCCAGACCGTTGACATCAACCTTGGTGTTTTTGTTACAGAGCGACTCCTTTTCGAAGTGGCAATAAAGGGAAACCACAAGGGAAACCAAAAGGAAAACCATAGTTTGTGGGGGTCCTCTAAAACAGACACACAAGAATGTTGGTTCATGATCCTGTCTGTGCTGCTCCTTTTCCTGTCGCTTGAAAGGGGTTCTCTTGGTATCACAGAAAGTGCCTCCCAGCTGAATAGCTTGCAGGCTCTTGTCGCCAAAGTCATTAGACGTCGATGCTTCTTAATCTTGCCTCCAGCCGATTGTATATGCATAATATAATGATCTTTACACATATGTACATAAATACATACAATTACATGAATGAGCTTTGATACATGTCTGCACATACATTGGCATACACCTTGGAACACAGGGCGCAACATGGTGCAAGTAAGAACTACCTTGCCATGATTCTGGCCCGTCAACAAGACATTGGGGGGGGGGGATCCACTGGTGCACTTGTCTGTGGTTTCATGATCCAAAGCAGAAGGGAGTTGGCTGGGAAGGAAACAAGACATAAGCAAGCGACCCACGACTCCGGGAACCCGAAGGCTCTAAGTTTGGAGCCGCGGAGCACGTTTGTTAGGCAAACAAAAGCGCTCCGCTGGTGGGTGCCAGCGTGCTGGTTTGCACTGGTTTTGGCCATGGCTTGTTAGCATGTGGTCAACATGCCATCCAAAATGTTCCCCTGCCAATGAATGGAGTGAAAAGAAAAGTAAAGCAAACAGCGTGACAAGTGGGGGGGGGGTCTGGAAAATAATCCGTCTAACTAGTCTGCTTTTGAGTGCTTTTGGTAGGTGTTTTCCGCACTTTGAGAAAAATGGGAGTGCGACCAGGCATCGTACTTCATGAGATAGGCCAATACCTGAACCGCGAGCATTGGTGCTGTTGGGATGGACACTGAACTTGCCCTGAGACACGGGACCCCCGCCCCGCCATACTTTTCAGGTTCAAAAGGCAACTTGAGGGATGGCATTCCGTGAAAACCATGGTCGGACTCAAGCCTCAAAGATGCCTCACACAGGTTCAGGAACCCTCCAAATGGCTCTGCATTTCTTTAAATTCAGTACCAACAGCGGGTTGAAAATGAAAAACCAACCGCGTTTCTGTTTGCAGGGTTCGTTTACAAAGCCAATGGGAGGAGGTCCATGTTTGCGTGTGGCAAGGTTCGGCTCATCTGCGTTTGTGACTAATGGGGTCTTGGTTTGTTTGTTGCAGGTCACCCACCAATATCTGGGGGTTCCCAAATCCAGTTGAGGGGGCTCTGGGCCGGGCGAGAGGAAAACCGACACGGAAAAGGAAAAGAACAAGCCATCCGCATGGTTTGTTTGAAAACCATGATTACCTATGTGGGTGGAACATCCAAGGCAACTCAGACGGAAGGCTTCCCGTGGCAAGCCTTTTGCTATTGTCTTCTACCAACATGGGCAGCAGCGTCTCTCCAAAAAGGGATTACTTGCACCCCTTGTATCGCCCTTAGTTTTCTGCTCCTAAGCTACTCCTTGGGATACAGTTCTTTGCCGCACGCCTGCGGGGTGGAATTGTGGAACGTGATGCGTCCCAAAACAGGGAACCCCCCTGAAAAGTGGGCGTTGTGTTCCCTTTAAGGGTTCCAACGCAACCCCAAAACACTTTTTTTTGGCTCAGGTGTCTGTTTTGGGAGCACGCTGTTGGCAGTATGGGATCCCATGACGTGAATTCCAGCCATAGTTGGAGCTGGGCTGACCGCTTGAAAAGTGGCTTCGTCTTAGTGCCTTTGCAGATCAGATTTGATGGAAACCTATGGGGGGCCCTTTGCATAGTACCCTCCCTTGCAGGTATCCTTCTGTATCCTTAAGGGACAGGAAAGAAAATCCCCCCCCGTCAAAAAAGGATTCTCTCCCAAACAACTTCCCCTGTCCCATGTACAACCAATGGTTGTGACCTACCTACCAAGCGGGTTGCAGACCCAAGTTGGCACAAAGAATACATCAGCTAAGCAGTTGCCCACCGAACTGGCACGCCCGTCTTGGCTTCTGGGCCATTTGGCTTGTTGAACCAACCCTAAAAGGGACAGGGAAGTGTCGGGGAACACGAAAAAATCTTGCTGGCGCTCTGGGGGCCCGCAGAAATGGAACCCAACAAAACCCATCCCTTGCTGGTGTCCTTGAAAGCCAAAGCCTTGGCTCATTCCAACTCATTCCCTACTGTGGATGGTTGCGAACTCCGTTTCGCACCATTGTTTGTTGGTCTTTACAGGGGAATCATCAGACGCCAGGGTTTCTGAACGGTGGTGCGAAATGGGATTTCGCAACCATCCACAGTATGGCAGCAACTTCTTTGGCTTCGAGTGGCTACTGCCGCAGACCTGGAGATGCCCTGCACGCAGTTCACCAACACATGGTGCCGCTCGTTCGCTTGGTGGGCGCCGTGCATGAAATCCAGCAGGCCTCACGCAGAGATTTCCGGCCCAACCTGCCGGGAACCTTTGAAGCTGTTTGACAGGGCCTTGCTCACTGGCTGAGTGGATGGCCCAAAAAAAGTTTGAACTTTCTATTTACCACTAAAATGGTCTTCCCAAAAAGTTTAAAGTTCATGAACTCAGGAAGTGAGTGTTTGAAAGGGAGACCTAGTGGTCCTGGAATTAACTTCTTCCTACAGGCTATCCCAACCTACCCTTTGGAGTTGATGGGTTGCTTGTCCCGCATAATTTGTAGGTTGAATCGAAGCGACATCGAAAAGAACTAAGGGACCGGTTTGTGTGCAACATGCCAAAAAACAAAAACAAGAGATATCTTGCTCTAGTGTGCTGTGTTTAGTGGAAACTAAGATGCACTGTGCATTGGTCCACATACTCCCTATTCAGGATACATTCGATGAACTCCGGCTTCTACCCATGGCTTGTAAGATGACCAGCCCAACAGCAACAGGTGTTTGACGAAATTCCAGTCGATGTTCATGGTTCGCTGTTTGTTTTGCAAAGCTTGGATGCTAGATTCATTTGCCAGGCCCGAAAATCATCGAGGCGTCTCTGCCCCATGAACAACGTGAATGATGAGAATCCGTTCGCTCAAATTGCTGGGCTGTAGAGATCTTTAAGCCATTCCAAAAAAGGCGGCCTTGTGTTGGCAGGTACTGTTTGTTGCACTCAGCAGCGAGCCTTGGGTTGTTTACTCGAGGCAATCGCCGCTGCCAAGAATATAAAGGTTACCCTGTTTGAGGCTATTTGAACGAGAAACCAAGAGGAAGCTGACCATGCTGAGGGTCCACAACTTTGAGACAAATCCTGGAATAAGCTGGTATTGAGCTAACGCGAACGCCCAAGCCAGAATGTGGGGACCTCCTACTGGCAACGGCATCGTTGTTTGTTGTTTGCAATTTCAAAGTAAAAGTCGTAGGAAAATGGGGTCCAACATTTTCGCAAGACTTTTGGGAGGTCTCAATGGGAATTCTATTCCCCTCCGCCAGAACATAGGTTGCACAAATGGGTGACACGCTTCAGGCCAAATGTCGTTGACTCCAACCCGGGTTGGTATAGTGACCATTCTAATTTCCCACCCAAATAATGCACGATTGCATGGGAAGCCCCTTTCTCAAACTGTCGTGCACCTGCAACGTGTGGGTAACATAGGAGTCAAGCCACGCCCACCTAGGCAGCTCGATCGTGTCGAGTGAACTCATCACGTCTCAGCCCTTGGGTTCAACTCCCACTAAAAGAATGGTTGACCCAATTTGGATGATAAAAATCCTGAACGGTCAATCATGGTGGATATATTCACCCGACCATAAAGTCCTAATCATGGCAACTGCCTGACCCCCAGGGTCACATCTCACGCCACTCCCACCACAAAACCTCCAACCCAAGGCGCCGTCGATGTCAGTGAGGCTCTGGTCAGGCGTATCTCCGAGGCCCTCCTTCTTGTACACGAACTCCAAGCCACGTTCAGCGTTGTACTCGGTCAGCAACCTCGAGCCCAGCGGAATTCTAGGGGCTCTTTCAGGGGATCCGAATCTTTTCAGGACACCCTCAAAAACAGAGGTTGGAAACAACGCTCGGTTTTTGAAAAGAACGATTGTTTGAAAAGAATGGGGAGTTTTGAAAAGAGGTTTTTGAAAAGAACGATGCTTGGAAAGAATGGACAAGGAGTCAAGCCCTAGAGAAATGACCTCTTTCAACATTTCTTTCTTGGAAGCTTAGAGCTCGTGCCCCATTGTCCCAAAGAACACCATTGACGACTACGTCTCAGCTGTATCTCTGGCAAAGGAAATCTGAGAAGGGATCCGATTTCACAAACGAGAAAACTATTCAGCTGGGGTCACTAGTGCCGCCACTGGAATAAGCAATCACAGCACCCGAATTGCCCAACCAAACGATAAGAGAACTGGAGCGAGCGGAGCGGCTGGATGTGGTACAGGCTTTTGCGTTAGTGTGTGTGTCCCCTTGACCCTCCAAGAATCATAGAGGTTCCTTCGTAGTTCAATGTATAGATCTTTCATGTAACTCATGTATAGATCTTCTTCGCCCTTCAAAAAGGAAAATCCACATTTCTTTATCCATCGAAAATCCAAAGCCAACTAGAGAAAGCGAGCCAAGTGAGCAAGTTCGCCAGGCGCTAGATGTGGACTTGAACGTTGAGTGCTAGCAGTCGCACGTGGCACACTTTTGGGCTAACCTGAGCGACCTCATGTTTGTAAAACTTGCCTGTGTTAACATCTCCAAGTGCTCAATCAAAAGAGAAAAACCCTAGGCACAATTGTGTAGATGGGCATTTGTATCGTAGTCAACAAAAATATCTTCGGAATTAGTCCGAAGCAGTACACCCCCGCCCAGCCGCCACAAGAAGAACTAGGAAAGCTAGCGGTCTTGATCTGTCATGTCGCACGCAATGGGGGGAAGTCCAGCAAAGTCACGTCCGGATGTCCTCTTTGAGGTTCACCTCCTGTGCCAAGTTCAACACGTGGGTGATGTTTGTCCGGATCGTGAGCTCCTGCCAAAGGCACATGGGTGTGTCTTGCTGAGGCACTGGGGTGGCTCGGGGTTCCCATTCTTCTCTCTTTGAACACCGTGTCTTGGTGGAAGCGATCTTGTGTCTCCGTGTGTGAGTCCCCCTGCTTGTTATGTCGGAACATTAAAGTTCTATTCTTAGTCTTTGCAAGGCAATCAGTAAGTCTTCCAGATTGTGCGGACAAATCGGACGCACAAAATAACATAAGCCCACTTGTTTGCTGTGCCCAAATTCGTAAGTCCCTCCCCCATTTAGTGAGGTCTCCTGTCCGAAACCAATATTGATCATGGACTGATGCATATTTCTCAAATCTCGCATGCGCATGTGTGACAATAGGGTGACCCCCAAAAATCGTTTCGGTTTTCCTCGGTGCAAGGCCCCGAGTCCCGAATAAGATGCAACTAGAATCCAGAACCCCGCCCAAGGCGCCGTTCGCAGTGTGGGGCAGAGGCTTCCGAAATTGGTATATGTCTTTTGGTGGTGGTAGCCTTTTTTACGTTGTTTCAAGGCAAATCAACGGAACCAATTATTTTTGGGGTACCCTACTTTGACACATATCCGGATAGACACCAAGAAGTGCCACTTACAAAACCTTGAGCTTTTTCACGCGCATCGGCAAGCAAAGGCACGGTGGTAGTGTCTGTGTGAGTGACGCAAACTGAGCAAGCTCGTGGGCCAACATGGGCCTTGTTTCCCTGGGCAAAACGAACAGTTCCAAAAATAGGAAACCCATAGAAAGGCGTGGGCTCCTTGAATTTCCCACTTATTAGCATCCTTCAAAGGGATATTTGTAAATTGATCATGGATTCTATGGAGGTGTCCTTCAGGAATTTACAAAACGGCATCTGTTGTGTGGGCCTGGCTTCCTGTCAATTTTGGCTTCCCATACTTTCAAAGGGCCTCCCCCATTCGGACCGCCAAGCGCGCGACAATCAGAGAGCCTCTTTGAGCGCTGACCCCCTTTGAAAGGCGGCACGGAGTGTGCAACGGTGTCTAGTGAGGCGGGAGAACAGGCCACTCCATGTTCGTGCTTTTGCCGGCTTTTAGAAGCGCTCCCTCACATAACAAGCTCCTCAGAACTGCACCAACGAGTGAACTGGTGAAATCAACGGTTCCGAGCGGCAGTCTCAATTCTGGGGCCGCTTGGTATTGGAAGCTCAGCTCAACAGCGGCTTCGCACGCGCCTTGTCGTTCTCCAAGTTCCTTTTGCCTGCCGGGCAGATAGATTGCTTTTGGCATTCCTTAAAGCACTTCAAAAGAGGAACTGCTATGCTCTTGCGTGTTTTTCCTTGCCAGGCAAGTTTGGGTTGTTAGATTTCAAGTCACTTCCGACCCGTCCACCGCCGGGACAGCTACAGGCTCCGTTGCAGCCGTTTGTCCGAAATAGTGTGTCGTAGGCTCTGTCGCAGCTGTCCGTTGAACTAGCTCTGTGACAGCTGTCTCGCGGCAGGTGGAACCTGTCTGAGGCTCTTACCAGTGGCTGGGCCAGGACAGCGGTGACTCAAGAAGACAAGAGCGGACCGGGATAGCAACAATTGAACTGCGCCAGGCAAGCGTCGCCTGCACTTTCAGCTGCTATCGGCCCATGTAGTTGGATCTTGGGGGCGCAATTGATTTGTCCCTGCAAAAGCTTAACTGCCCCTCAAAGAATCGGAGTGGATGAAGGGAGTCCCCCACCAAAAAGGAAGCATGATTGCAGTAACAGCCACTGCTGCTATTGGTTTGGGGTCAAAGCGTTGCTTCCGTTTTGGCTCGACATGCTCGACTGCGTTTCTTCGCGCTATCGCTTCAGCAAGCAGCATACTCGAGGCCCCTCACGCAGTCGGATTGACCTTTTGGCGCCTGTGTGGTTGCAAGCCTAGCTCAGTCAAGCAACTTCTTAGCTGGGGATTGCTCGCGTTCTCTGTTTGGAGACGAGTCTGCGCCAGCCCTCACAGTTTCTGTGGGAACCAAAGATGCTGGCGGAAATCCAAAAAATCCCTATCCCTGGTCAAACTTGATGACCAGCCCTGCAACCCCAAGCAACTATGTCTTTCTGCTCACAGCGCATGTTGCAATGACAATGCCCAGCCAAAAGCCCAGGAACCAGCGCATGCCATACCAAAGCTGCGTCTTGTGGGCCAGCGGATTGCTGACTCACCAGTTTCTTCATAAGCGCAACGAGCCTTACGGGGACTCTGAGAAAGAAAAAAAAAGAAGAAGAACCATATATATATATAAACAACTCCAATTCCAATTCCCAGGAACCTGTCCACCCTGCAGCCCAGCACAACTTCATGGGAACCAAGCAAGTTCCTTCCATACAAAAACTCCATCAAACATCCAAAGATCATGGCAACCAAACGGGTCAAGCAGCTAGGGTTTTGGGATGGCTGCGTCAGAGACGGTCTTGCCGGATTCCGGGGGGGGGGGGGGAACGGCGACTTTGAG